AGGCTTCCAAAAAAAAAAAAAAAAAAGGCCGGATGTGAAGGCTCACACCTATAATCCCAGTGCTTTGGGAGCCCAAGGGTTCGAGAACAGCCTGGGCAACTTGGTGAGACCTCATCTCTACAGTAAATCAAAAAATTAGCCAGGCGTGGTGGCGCACACCTGTAGTTCCAGCTACTTGGAAGGATCGCCTAAGTCCAGCAGGTCGAGACTGCAGTGGCCATGAGCGTGCCACTGTCCTCCAGCCTGGGTGAGAGCGAGAGACTCCAACTCAAAAAAAAGGTAATGCAGTAGTCTCTGAGCCTGGGATATTGTGGCTGATAACTGTACCCATCTGCAGGAACCACATTATGGATCTTTGCACAGAATGTCACACTAACTAGGCGTTGCTATTTCAGAAGAGTGTACCGTTGCATGGGGTGTCTGTAACCATGCTTTTTACTTCCACTGCATGTCTTGTTGACTCAAAACATGACAGTGTGTCCACTGGACAATAGTGAGTGGGAATTCCAAAAGTATGGGCACCAGAAAAAGATTCTTCCATCAACAGCTTAACTGTTTTGTTACTTAAAGACTTGCCCTCCTGTAACTTAATTATAAAACAGATAAAACAGTGTCTTTTCTGCTTTGTCTTTTCAGTTTGCTGTTCCTGCAGCCTTATTGTATTCTGTGTCAAATAAAGTCCACTGGATTATTGAGAGGATGAAGTCAGAGGGAACATGGCGGCTGGGCACAGTGGCTCCTGCCTATAATCCCAGCACTTTGGGAGGCTGAAGTGGGAGGATCGCATGAGGTCAGGAGTTTGAGTCCAGCTTGGGCAACATAGCGAGATCACATCCCTACTGAAAAAAAATGTTTTTAATTAACCAAGTGTGGTGGTACCTGCCTGTCGTCCCAGCTACTTGAGAGGCTGAGGCAGGAGGATTACATGAGTCCGGTAGTTGACAGTGAGCTATGATTGCTCTACTGCTCTCCAGCTTGGACAACTGAGTTAAGACCCTGTCTCTAAGAAAAAAGAGAGAACACAAGAGGTCTGACAGGGTAAGTGAGTGGCAAACAACTCTCACTCCATGCGGTACCTGACAGCAAAAACGGTCACATTTCTTTTTTTGTTGTTGTCTTTTGAGTTGGGAGTCTCACTCTGTCGCCCAGGCTGGAGTGCAGTGGTACGCTCCCTGCTACCACACCCTCAACCTGCTGGGCTCCAGCGATCCTTCTGCCTCAGCCTTCCAAGTAGCTGGAACTATAGGCACATGCTACCACGCCCAGATAATTATTTATTGTAGGTCTCACTATGGTGCCCAGGCTGGTATTGAACCTGCGGGCTGAGGCAATCCTCTCACCTCAGTCTCCCAAAGCTAGTCCACTGGAAGATGAGAGCCATGTAACCCAGACCTACCTATTACTCCAAGCCCCACGTGAACGAGGCCATCCTGGACAGCCTGCCCAGCAAAGCTCCCAGATGATCAGAGCCATGAGCAAGCCCTGTCAAGCCCATCCACATCTGGCCCCGATCAGTAGAACCAGCCAGCTACCCACAGACTTGCGAAAAAGAATAAATGTTTTGACATACTAGGCTGTTGAGTTTTGGGGCCATTTGTCACGCAGCAATAAGAGCTGAAACACCCTGTACCAGTCTTCCTCTCCTGTGACAGGTTTGTTCTGCCCAGTCCGTCCCGCTCCCAGCTTCCCACTCTGGGTCAGATGAGAAGCTACCTTACAATCGCCTTACCCATAGCTGTAGTTATGGGGCAGTGGGTATGGAATGTGCCCCCAGGGCATCAGGAGGAAAGTACGCACTAAATGCCAGATACTGCAGACAGAGAGGAAGATGAAGGAGGCCCTGAGGCTGACACCGTGTTGTTCATAAAGAAGCTGCAGAAGGAGAAAAAGGTCAGTGTGACACACATATTCATGGCAACACTAGTCAAAATAGCCAAAACATGGATGTAACTCAAGCATTCATTGACAGATGAACAAGTATATCACAACAAAATTTTTGTTTGGTTGGTTGGTTGGTTTTTGTTTTTTGTTTGTTTATTTTTTTGAATTGGAGTCTCACTCTGTCACTCAGACTGGAGTGCAGTGGCTGCTCCCGGC